TCTGTATATATACACAAGGAAGCACGAAAGATAGCAGCAGGCAACGGCGACGGTTGTGCACCTGATAATATGGTCATCACACCCTCGATAACGAAACGACACATTTTTCTCTCTCTCGCACTTTCGCTCTCTTCTCGTTTTCTTTTACCTATTACTTATACTATGACGACAATAAAAAAAAAAAAAAAGAAAATAAAAAAGAAAATAATTCGAAAAGAATGCTATAAGAAATTTGTCTATTAGTACTTCCGAAAACTAGTTATACATATATGAAATTTTCCTTCCTATGTAACGAAGAATACAAAAACGAAATATGATCAAGATATGTGAGAGATGGATAGAGAGGGGCAATGAGAGAGGGAGAGAGAGAGAGAGAGAGAGAGAGAAAGACAGAAACGAATGAATAAGTAGGTGAAGGAAAAGAGTGGATGCAATAAGTGATACATTATGAATGCATAGTATGCATACGGAAAGAAAAAATTGGATTATCATATAATAGGGATGCTTATTTATAGACACAATAGGAAAGATTTGATCAAGGCGAAAAATACAAAAAAACGAATAAAAATGACGTCTCTATTATGCATCTAACAACAGAGACATACTTTTACATATTTTTTTTATCATTTCTATCTTATATAAGCCTACTCTATTCGAGTAAAACATCCATATATATTTATATATCTCGTCTCTAGTGTGCATGTAACGTACAATGAGAGAAATAATGCACTTTGTCACCTTCGATATAGCTATTTTTATAAGGATACAAAACTTCCGTACATTTTACTTACTAGATATATAGAGTGATAAAAAAAAAGTTGTAAGATAGACAATGTACAAGAGTATTTTAGAGTAAAAGACAATATGTAAAGTATATGATGATAAAAATAGTTGATATCAATAAAAGAAAATAATTTATTTAATTTGTAGTCATTAGAAGAAGAACAAATTCAAATTTAATATGTTTTCATGTTAACTGGTTGGTTCGTTATATTATATCGAAGATGGATGACTAGTCTAAAGAAGACCTATTTATTGGACAACCTTCTTTTGATTAGAATGAAGAATAACAATGTGAGAATAAGAATGAGAAAAGGCAAGTTCAGGGAAGTGCCAGTAGGCAGACAGACATGATGATTGATGGTATAAGATAGGAATCTTTAGTTATTTGGTCTTGATTATACTTACAGCATTCTTTTTTTTCTGTTGTTTAAAAGAAAGAGCGAACACTCAAAAATGACCTCCTTCCTTCGAAAGTTTATTATGGGTCAAGCAGAAAGAATGAGAGAGAGAGAGAGAGAGAGAGAAAAGAGAGATCCATTATTTTTGATTTTACTGTCTACGTTGATGTCGTCTACCTTGGAAGTTCAAGAGCACTATTCTCTCACAGCAAAGGACATATCCCGTTCGCTCTCTTACTCTTTCACTCTCATATATTGTTCTGTTTTTTAATGCTCTTGCCGCCTCTCGGTCAGTCTGCGATGAGAAAAGAAAAGGAATAATTTCAAGTCGCTTTTTGAACATACATATATACACTGGCCTTGTGTTCTGTTCTCTTTTTCCCCTCCATCATCATCATCATCCATCCATCCCTTCTACCTGTCGAGACGACGACAGACAGAGAAGAGGAAGGTCCGAAACGGCATATAAAATAAAACAAATTTTTCGTTTTTTTCTTTCTTTTCTCGTTCATACTAAATTCATTGTGTTGAACGATATCCGCACCAATGCACTCAGCATACATTTATATATATATATATTTCGGTCTTTATCTCGGTGACCTCAAAATGAGAACGAATATTATAGTAGTATGTGCAATTTTCTCAATGTGAAGTGCATGAATGGAGGTGACCGGAACAAAACATAAAAGAAAAAATTTTCGTCTCGTCTCTCTTGAACTTCTCCACCTTCTATTTCTTCGTCTTATTGTCTTGTTCAATCTATGGTACCATTGTCATGTTCAATCTATGGTACCATTGTCACGTCACACGATACTAAACAATCATCATTAAGAGATCCATTATCAACATTAAGATGCAATCTCTCAATCACAGATTGTGACTACTAGCCGACCCAATTAGAAGATGAGCATATATGTATATGATCAGCAGGTGTTTGTGAGTAATGATGACGCTGATAAGACCGATGACAAACATCAGTCGATCGATTGCGCGCATTTACGTTAATCTCTATTTCTCTTTTACGTTGCATGTGTGCATGTTTGTGTGTGTGAAGAAGTGCTAATGCAAAGACTATGATCATATCAACAGTTTTCTTTTTGTTCTTTCGTGTACAATATACAACCTAATAAAAGAAAAAAATAGGTCAGAACAACCATCCTCTTGTTTCAATCATAATCACCATCATCATGTGATCATTGACCTAGATGGACTCTTGTCGAAAATATATCACTCATATGTTATAGGTTTTCAATTCTTCTTATATGCAAATATACAACTACCATATCCTGTCGTCTAAATCGGAAGAAAAAGAACAAAATATAGGTGAAAAAGAAACAAGCGACGCCCTTCACAAAGGCTGTTCAATTTATATATATATATATACACATACATATATATGTATGTATGTATATATATTTAGACGACTGTTGTATTTTTCAATGAACAAAGAAAAGAAAAGAATAAATTGTAAAGTAGTCATAGTCAAGTAAAAATTTCCATTTTACAGGCTATGAATTTGATCGTTGTTGGCTTTGCTTCATTTGATTTATGTATCGCTTGAATTCTAATGTTCCCGTCTAGTGAATGGAAATGCGACACGACTTGAAAGAGTTAAAAAAAAAAACGAGAAGAAAAAAAAAGCGTTAAGAGAAGATATGCCCTTGACGGAAGGCAACCAAGAAAAAAAAACGGAATAGTTAACCTGTTCGCGGAAGATAAGAAGATAGAAGTCGAAAGTTGATTTACGTTGTAAGAAGACTATATGTTCTGTTTACCATCTCAAAAAGATAGATAGGTTTACTTGCAGAGTCGCTTTTATGGTGAAGGTGATAAGAAAATAAGAGTATGTGCACGAGAATGGCGCAGCAAGTAGGAGAGAATAAGAAGCAAGGAAACATACAGATGAGTCATACGACAACAGTCATTATGATGATGTACATCTTATGATACGAACTATTTTATTCATGGCATTTTTTAATAGAACTAGAATAGATAGTGTCATTCAGTTAATTTAATACTCACAAACATACATTAACTAAATTATAAGTGAAACGAAAAAAGTTTATTGTATAAATATGTTCTGTCTATAACTACGTAGGATTAATCAAAAACATGTAATAGAAATATATATTTTTTTCTAGGTTTACATAATATGTTCATTTATGTATTCATTCATTCAAGGCAACAATATTTTTGATATGTGAGACAAAAAAAGAAAAAAGAAACGATCAAACAAATGAAATATATTGTTTCGTTCTATTAAAGCAATCAAATAATTTCAGCATATAGATAGAACCTGAATGAAAACCAAGAGTAAAAATTAATTTACCTGGTCATTTCGCCATTTGTTTCTAATACAAAATGATCACGATAATATTTATTTCCTATTTCGACGTCTTTTTTTTCTTGTGATCAAAAATATAATAGTAACATTAATAGAGAGGTAGCAACGCACTTTCGTTCTCACACAGAACAAATACAAAGCAGCCAACCCGGAACTTTCGAAACGTCGTTGCGTATGTTCCGGAATGACATTTTTTCTCTCCCACCTTTTTTTCTCTTTTTTCATCGCACAGGGTTGCTTTCTTTTCGGTCTTTTTCGATTCTTTTTTAAAGATTTGTGACGATAGCTACACGACAAAAAAAAACAACAATAACAACAACAACAACATCAATAACAAAAAAAAGCTGAAAACGGTTACATCCCTGTAACTATTCCAATCCTGACATTTTTTTTTTCGTTATTTCCACTTGGATTATGTATCAAGCATATGTGTGCATGTAATTTTGTTTTTATAGTTTAAAAGAATAATCAAATGATGCTTTTTTCTTAAATCACTATCAATCTAATATCCATCTGTTTTTTTTCTCTTCTTTTTGTATGCATGCAATTCACTCGTATTTCTTTCATCATTCCCCATCGTCAAGCATCCGTGTATACACTCTCTAGCTATTGAAGACTCGTTCTTCTTTTTTTCGGTCGTTCTCTCCTTCTTTTTTTTTTGTCTGTTGATTTCTTTGCAAAGCACATACACATTCATATAAGATGCGAGCGGGAAGTATGAATACTGAGTGCGTTTTCGTTTCCTTTCTTTCCGTGCTTTTTCGTTTTATGTAAAAAAAAAAGAAAAGAGAATAAATCTTTTTTCGAGGACACAATCGAACCATACAATGTAGGCGTTGATGAAAGGAAAACAATACTATACAAAGTTATGCGGTGTACATGGGAACAAAAAAACGAAATCCAGTTTGAGCGTGCTGTGTAATTGATTGATGTATTTGTGTGTATGCCGGTGGAGAAAAAAAAAAGAAAGCATAGTATTTCAAAAAAAGAAGAAAAAATGCTGAAAGCTCACCTTTTTCTTTTTCTTCTTTTTATGTGTGTTGATCGTAAACAAAACTTCCCTCTACTTGTCTGTGTCAGATAAAGTCAGAATAAAAAGAAAAAAAAGAGAATGAAAATGTTTTAATAGTCAGCAATTGTTTTACTTCTTCAATACTTCTTTTGACAACTCAATTTAGAACTCAAATACAACTCAATTGAAATTTTTTGTAGATATAGTAAAGAAAAAAAAAAGAAAAAGAAACAAGATCAATGAATATTTCGAATAAATATATAATGTAGTAAATATAGAAATGAAACTAATGAGAAAGTATGCATCAAGACCTGTTAATTGTCTTGTTATTTTTTTTTTCTGTTTCATATAGTTGTTTTATGAGGAGAACAGCAAGCAGGTACGAAGATATTGTATGTAGAGAATATAAAAATCGAACAGACACCAATCAAAAACAAAATAAGGATATCAGTAGAAACAAAATATGGGTAATAGACAAAAACCTCATTCCTTAACTACAAAAGATATACAAGTGTTAGTAAAATTAAGTGGTAAAACTGAAAATGAAATTCGTCAATGGTACGATGAATTTCATAAAGAAAGTAATGGTACAGATCGAATGAATAAACGACAATTTCAATTATATTATACAAAATTAAAAAATAATCCAAAATTAGAACAAATTACAGATCATATTTTTCGAGCATTTGATAAAGACCGTTCCGGTAAATATATATTATTTTAAACTTGGATTTATTTATTAGTTTATTTATTTATATATTTAGGTACAGTTGACTTTAGTGAATTTCTAATTGCTTATATTGCAACAAGTACAGGAACAAATCGTGAAAAATTTGAATATGCATTTGAAGTATTTGATATAAATGCAGATGATAAAATTACACAAAAAGAAGCAGAAAAAATTCTTCATATTATATGTCAAATTGTTGGTTTACCTGAAGAAGATGCAAAAACATATGCAAAAACAGTCATGATATCATTTGATATAAATTACGATAAAGCTTTAACAAAAGAAGAATTTGTGAATGGATGTTTACATGATTCAGCATTAGGAAAAATTGCTGATCCATTTGATTTGTAATAATAAACAAAACATATTTAAGTTTTGACTATAAAAGAAAGCCTAATGAGTAATTATCATAGTTATTTATGAAACACTATTTAATCATATGTTATATATACTAAAAAAAAATCAAAACCTCAATTTAAGATTATAATCAAAATTTTATATATATATATCATTTTTGAAATAAATTTTTTCAATATTTATATTTGCAAAAGTCATGAACTTTAATTATTTATTTTTATTGTTGTAAGTTACAGAATAATTTTAAAAATATTATTACTAAACAAAAAATATTACTTTGATATTTCATTATAATACAAAATTCATTATTATTTGAATGAAGTTTAACTAACAACAGATTCGATTTATATTTAGATGGTTTACAATTCTTTAACTAAATAAAAGATTTAATGTCTTATCTATTTAAAGAAGAGAGCATATCAGTCTTCAATGTGGAGTAGTTTTTTTTTTTTTATCAGATAATGTTACAAAACTTTTTCAGTTTTGAAACGTTCGAGTTCGTGAGTCTTGGGGATTAGAAAAATCAGTCTCATTTGACCAATATTCTTTGCAATATCTGAAGCATTCACTATTCTTATACTCAAACGAATGACATATTCTAAATCAGTACGAGGAACTGATGGAATTTATGTCTTCTAAATATTTGTACGACCATTTATTTTCGTTTGAAGTGTTCCTCTGATTTCCTTCAGGGTCAGATACAAAATGATACACTGAAAAAATCATTCTAGCCCTGAGAAAAAAACTTTTCAAAATTCAATAATGCGTATAAATCGTAAAAACAAATATGACTATACAATGAAAACTGCTTTTCTAGTGGTTTTTTGTTTTTTTTTCGATTAGCGCTGAATGAGACAAGCAGAATATTGTAGACAAAAATAAATGGTCTCAATAAGTTTTAGAAGATATACAAATTTCATCAGTTTTTCATGCTAATTCCAAATATATCTTCTGTTTGAATATGACAATAGTGAATACCGATAGAGGAATTTAAAGAATTAAAGATGGATTAAAAATAAATAATTTAATGATAACAATAACTTATATCACAAACGCTTACTTTCTTTCTTTTGTTTTAAGGGGACCCCCCCCCCTTTCCGGCGTTTTTAAGAAACGGCCGAACGAAAATTCCTGAAACTTGCAGGGTAGATAGACCTCGAGTAGTAGAGCAAAAGTTGTCATAGACACAAATTTGCCAGACGTCATCTTCGTGGACTTCCAGAGACCCCAAGGTCAAAAACTTGCAAAAAGTTTTCCCCTCCGCAAATCCACAAATTTCATCCGTTTGAGCTGAAATTTTTGCTGTGGGTAGACGGACCCAATCGGGGTGGGTGTTTTTTTTTTTTTTCAAAAATTCCAAATACTTCAGGCTGGTGAACCAAAATACTGAGCACCTTGCAAAATCTCTAGGTTTTTTGGATCCTAAAAATTTTGCGAAGCCTGCCAAACTTGATTGGTAGAAGGTATCCAAAAAAAAAAAAAAAAACACCCAACCCAAATCACTTGAAGTCTCACCAAAACAATTTTCAGCCCGATCGGACTTGAAATGGCGGAGAAAAAGGGGGAAAACTTCATTTTTTTGCTGAAAAAACTGATTTTGAGAAAAACGCAAAGAAATTTGTGTTTTTTTGGTTTTTTCAGCATATTTTGTGATTTTTTTCGAATTTTTTATATATAAGATGTGGTTTTTCAGTTCTCAAAATGTACTCAATGGATAGAGGGCATTCAAATCTATATACTAATCACAAAAAATGAAAAATGAAAAATGTGAAAATTTTGAGTCGGGAAAGGGGGGGGGGTCCCCTTAAACTCATTTACCTCTATTTTTTTCTTTCTCCTTCTATAGCTTTCAGATGAATGTAGTTCATTCTTAGTCATTACTTGTCTATTTTTTACAGTCATGTGTTGATGATAACGTGATTAACATTATGGTCTCTGTATTCTTCTTTGACTTTTTTGTAAGCGTTCAACAGCGTCACAAATAAAAAAACAACACACATAATCGAAAAAAAAACCTAGTGAATGCGGTGGATATTGGCAAGAGTATTGATGAAAGAAGACTGTTTTTTCTATCCCAGCAAAATGACTTTATACGTAAGACTGCTGCCAATCTTTTTCTCAAACAAATTGAATATATTCTTGTAGCGTATCATCGACTCTACTAGCACAAAATGTTTGACCTCCCAAGCTTCTTTACTTTTTAAGATATCAGGATTTCAAGATGAATTAGTGATCTGAAATACAGGATATCTCGCAAAGATGTAGATATTTTGAAAAATCAAAACTCGTGCAGTCGAGTCCCGAAATACATCAATAGATTTTCATCTGAACTGTTGAATATATCAAATAATGAAGCTTTCTTAGCTCTATTATGCCACATAATCAAAAGTTTGAGCAAACATGTGTCAACAGATTTCGATGCTCGACTATAAAACTTGTAGTTTTCCAAAATGTATACATCGTTTTGGAACATCTTGTAGATAGGGTTTTGATTTGTCGAGCTTGTTCGGTCCATTCATTGTTGACTCAATACAAGATCATTTACGTTATATCTGCTTCTCAAAATACAACCCATATCATATTCTATTCATTTCAATATGAATGAGTTTATTGGCATCTATCTGCATGTCAGAAGTAGAGTCTTCACTCTTAGTATACACTGAGAAGACATGACTATGATTTTGGCTAGATTTGCAAGTTGCATAAGTATTTCTAATTTAAGACTTTTCAGCAACATTTATAAATCATTCGACTCGTCAACTTAAACGCTTTAAAACTATATAGATCTTATAACATAGTTTTAAGAATAAATGATCAAAATTGAAGACTTAAATGCTCTTCTTTGTCCTTTCTAATTAATTCTATATTTTTTTGATTATTATCATCCGCATAATGAGTGACAAGATGTTAATCTATCATCAATAGTCTTTGTCGAATATTCATTTTTGAAATTTTACATTGTAACAGATCTTATTGAATATATGTCGCGTTTTACAATCAGAAGAAACCAGGAGTTTTTTTTTTCAATAATCAAATTGTAAATAGTACTGTGTTATTGACAATTGTCATCGTATCAGACTATATGTATAATCTGTTAATTTATTACATTGCATGATCTAATTAGAGTCTTTTGTTCTGTAAGCCAAAATCATAACATCAATCAATTTGCTTGAAAAATGAAGACAATAAATTATAGTTCAATTTATCTTTTCTCTTAACAAGCTTCTTTAAAAAAAGTTTCATAGCGGCACATATGTATTATGAAAACATTTTTTCAAGTTTATACAATAACAAAAATGCTCCAAATAAATGAGCAAATATCTGTTTAGAACAATTTTGAAATAGTTACAATACATGACGTATACAAAACAAAAATTGAATACAAAAAAAAAAAGAAAAAGAAAAAACTGAATATGTTCTTGTATATTTACGAGGAAACCATGACTAGTGCTAAACTATAGTAATTCATCTATTTTTCTACCAAGCTATATCAACATTTGAAAAAATATATGTATCAGCTTGTTGCATTATCGAATCAAATCGATCGAATAACTAGATGAAAACAATAATAAAAATAAATAAAATTATTTGAATATAAATGAGAAATATTACTTCTTGTAACCATGTTGTATCACCACATATAGCACTAATTAATTCTGTTGCATCGGCTGTTGGATTTAATGCTTGTAATTCAGCAACCTAAATAAAAGAATTTATTTAAATTAAGATAATTTTATCTTTTACTTTTTGTTGTGCATGACAAAACATATGATAAACATGATGTTTAAGTTGATGAGCTGTTTGAGCTAAAATAGCAATATTTTCACAAACAAAGATTTCCTAAAAAAAAGAATAAATATATTTTTCTTTTTATCTAAAGAAAATGAATTATTAAAATATATTATTTTTCTTACTAATATTTGTAATGGTGTTTCACTTGCTTTTAATGTATCAACATCATATTGATTACCATGAAAACGTAATGTATGTGAAACTGATTGTGATTTATCTTCTGTAACCTAAAATAAAGAAAATTATTTAGAAAAAAAAAAATATATTCAAATAAAATAAAATTTACTTGACAATGTAATTGTCGTTGAGGTTGAGCTATAATATCAAGTAATGGATATTTAGCAACTGCACACTATTCAAAAAAAAAAATAGAATTTTTTTTTTACAAAAATTAATTTTCAAATAAACTTACAGGAAATGTTTCTATTGTACGTCTTGATTGAATAACATAATTATAACGTTGTTCAAGAATTTCATCGATCAATCGAATATATGTTGCATATTCATCTGAAAGGTAATTTTTTTTTTGATTTGATAAAAAGAAAAAAACCTCTAACCAGTATTGGCTTTAATTCTTGGTAATACATCAGCATCATAAACATGATTAACAAGTACTTGAGCATAAACATCATGTTGAATACGTACTGAACTCATATGACCATGAATTCTGTATAATTATTAAATTAATATTAAATTCGGTAGATGGAAAAAATTTACTAACGCAATATTTTTGACATATTTTCTTAACAGTAACAGTTAGAACCAATCGGAGAAAAAATTTAATTAGTTGAAACAATTTCTTATCAAGAGAAGTACTTGCGAAATTCACATTAACAGGTTTATGTGAAAGACCTCTGGAGAAACAACACCAATTTTTTGGATTCTATCAAAAATATTTTGCAAACAAGTTTATTTCATAGAGAAAACATTTCTGAACAAAATAAGATATTCATGACCTATCTTCAGCAAACGACAACCATTGTGCGATAGGTCTAAAAGTAGAGATGAGCAGGGTTAATCATTTTTTGGATTCCGGTCAGAAAAAAATTTTTGATTCTGGTTTTGTGTTTAGTAATACATTAACTAGCGAAAAATTGGATATCATTTCCTGACAGTGTCAATGCCCTCGAGATGTTTTGCATGACCTGCATGAGTTCTAATGTCGTCTGCCGTGAAGACTAATTACTTTTTTAAATTCACTAATACTTGGTCTATTCTGCGCATTTATGTGTTCGACAACTTTGTTGTTTACGAAAAAAGGAAAAATTTTACTATTAATATTGTCAAGTGCTTTTCCTAACAGGAAATTATTTCAGTTAATAAGATCTTTTATCTGATTTGTTCTAGAGTTTACTATTAAGGAAAAAAGTCAAAAAATTCTGCGTTTCTAAGTTTTTTTTTTCTCGTGATTTAAAATATTTATCCTACTTAAGTTTAATTGGATGTGATTCATTGATAATACGAACAACTTCTTGATTATTATGTAAACCTTTAAGTTCACATTTAAGTGGAACATAATCTTCATAAACATTCGTATAAAACATTCCCTATAATAATTAGATAAGAAGAATGTAGTTTCGATAGAAAAAGAAATCTATTTTTTCTTACTTCATCTGTTGCTTCCCATGCTATTTCAGAATCAGCAAGTACAGTATCATATTTAAGTAAAAGTGTTTTTGTATGTACTTTCCAAATTGGAAAATGAAGTAAATTCAGAAAATGTCCTTTATATAATAAAAATTGACCCATTTCAAATGGAATTTCAGGTCCCATTTCTATGATTAAAATTATTTTTTTTATAAATAGAAACAAATTTTTTTTTTACCTCCATCTGCAAACTGATTTCCTTCGGTAGTTGTTGCAATCGATTGATTCATTGCTGTAGATACTGATGTTTCTTGTTGATGCTTATCAGTAGATGTTGTTGATTGAGAATGTTCACCAATTACTTGTTGCTGAAGAGCAGCATTTGCTAATTGTAATTGTTCATGCTTACTATCGTATAAAGCAGTAGTAGTAGCCGTTGATGATGAACTAAAGAATCAACAATGATGTCTAACATAATAAAAAAGAAACAACAAAATCGTTTTACTTTGTATTATCCGATTGAATTGTTGTCAATGATGGTTGATGAATTTCATGAGATTTATCTAAATTAAAGAATTTCTTTTTTAAAAAGAAGCAAATTTTTGTCTATACTTGTATTATTTGTTTTAGACAATGCTGCAAGTAACAGTGCATCTGTTGTTGCCTATATAAAAAAATAATAAACATAATGATACACATATGAAAAAAAAAATTTACCTTTTCACTTTGTATTCTATTTGAATTAGTTGTAGAAAGTAATTCATTAGAAATATAATTCATTGTATTTTGATTAGTTTGTTGTTGTTGTTGTTGTTGTTGTTGTTCTTGTACCATTTCATTTAATTGACTAAGTATTGCAGCTGCTGATGCTGTTGCCGACTCAATAGCATCAGTTCCATTAGATGTTTGTGTTAATGTAAGTGTACCAGCACTTAATTGATTAAGTATATCTTGAGGTAATGTAATTGTTGTCTAAAACAAAGAAAACTTTCAATAGAATATGAAAAAATAAGCTTGTTAGTGTAGTACCTTTGGAGCTAAAATTTGGAACTCAAATGTATTCTTTAACCTCATTATACTGATATAAAATACGGAAAATGAAAAATCTCTTGGACATTATAGTTGCTTTCCAACGATAATCGATCACCAGAGAAGCGATCCGTCTTATTTATTTCTGTATTTTGAACAGAAAATTTTCCTATGTCTTGTTGCTCTTCTTTTTCATATTCTATTTTTTTCTTAATTTAACATTATTATTATTCTAATTATTGATTCAACTGACACATAAGTCTGTTGTACATATCTATTCTATCGACAGCAGATCTCAACGCACTATTATATATCTCGATAAGTTTAAACTTTTTTATGTTAAATATATGAGAACTGTGGCAAATCAATGCATTACTATTAGACATGTGCAGGACTAACTTTTTTTGGTCTCGGCAGCTTTTTCACAGTACTCCCGATTCCATACATGTGTACTCAGATGCAACAGTTACTGAGGAAAGAACATGATTAACAACTGAAACAAATAGATAAAATTATGTTTTTTAAATAAAAATTTGACTTATTTAACTGGATTTTGTTAATCAAATCAGAAAAGATTAGCAGAAGAGACTATTTCTTCATCATTTATTCCAGGTAAACATGTACGGTAGAAGGATTTATGACAATCATATTCAAAAACGAAACTAAGACGATTGTCTAAAGATGATGACGAAGACACATTATATTGTTCATAATGATGAAACTGTTTATTTTTTTTTATATGGGTATGTATATGACTGGAACTTGTTTATTCATTAAGATTGTGTATATACAGATTTTTATTTATGTTGTCTTATTTATCATGATGTGCAAAAAAAGTTTCACTTAAAAAGTCATAGAGTTAAGGATATGATATAGTCTCGGATTTCAGTTCCGATAAAGTTTGAGTTTTTGGTTTCCTGTCCCAGTAACTGAGACTGGTCTCGCACATATCTAATCACTATCCATCATCCTTAAAATCTTATATATAAATTTGTGAAAAAATAAAAAAGTGCACTATTCAGAACATTCGCAAATATATTCCAACCATTCAAATTTCGAGGAAGACTTTTCAATGTCCCAGTGCAGTCAAAGTCTTCTTGTTAATGCTGTCTACAGTATGTTGTCCTCGATTACTAAAATTCTGTGATGAGAAGAAGAAGCCAGAAAACTTACATTCACTATTCTCTTCAAAAATATATGGAAGTTCTACAAAACAAATGATTCTTACAGAATTATTAAGAATATTTGGTACAGTTTGTGCATTACGAAATAAATCAGTTAATGTATTAATATATTGTTGTTGTTGTTGTTGTTGTTGATTATCATTTTGTTGTTGTGAATTTGGTGTTAATGTTATTGATTGTGGTACAAAATTTGTTGTTTGATTATTTGTTGGAAGATTTTTTAATAATGGATTTATTTTAACACCTTTTGTATCATCATATAATGGTCGTCCAATAACCATTATTTCTTCCATACGCGATTCATCATTAACTATATATGTTTGATAACCCATTGTACCAGTTTGTTGTGCAAGTGAATTAAGAATAATACCAGCATTAACAGCACCAATATAAATATTATCTTTTGGTTTACGTATAATTGGTTCATTAGCTATAGCTTCTAATGATGGTGGTTTTTCTCCGGCAAGAAATTTTAAAAATGCATTATGAAAAGAATTATCTTTTGGATCATAACGAATTTCAACTAAAATACAAAGATGATAAAGAATTGTTTTGTCTTTTTTTTTTATCTTATAAAGAAAAAAGATTTTACTTGGTTTTCGTTTTGGTGGTGGAGCTGTAACACGTTGAATTGATTCTTCAACATTTTGAATATGAAATGCATTTGCATTAACCTAAAATATATATTTATTAAAATTAATAAATAGAATTTAAATTTATTTTACTTTGCTTTGAAATGATTGTTTATGTGGTATAAGTGATGGATTCATTGTAGCAGGTGCTATTGGTTTTGGTGTTGGTTTTGGTTGTATTGGTACAGGTGTTGATACAACAGATGAAGTATGTGCTGTTTGAATTGTTGGCATTGATGCTATTTGTAAAATTTGTTGTTGTAAACCAGTAGATATTTGAGCGAATTGTTGTTGTTCTGTATAATGATTAAATAGAGAACCTAAAACAAAATTGTCGACTGACGATTTATATTCTCATTGAAATAAAATTTTGTACACAATAGAAGAAATTCAATAAATAGTAAGAACATGAATCTTCAATTTATATGATGATTATTTTGCAAAGTTGAATTCCGTTCAAATGAGAAGATCTATGAAGATTTTCTTGAATGATTTTTTAATACGAACTTAAATAGATATTTAAAGATGAAGTAAAAGACGTTGATCTCTTACATATTATAACTGAATATAATAACACTTTCTCATCAGTAGACTTAAAAATATAAAATGTCAAAATAATTATTTACAAAAAAAGAAAAATCGAAGTATCGAGAAAACAATCATGAAATCTCTGTACTGATTCTATCAAAATATGCTTAGAGATCTCCTCATTTGAATTGTAAAAAGTACATTTTAGACTAATAATTTAACAAACGAATATAATTGATTAAGTTTATATTTATATCTAAACAATTTAGTCAGTTCAAATCAGTTGAGTAGTTGTGTGTTGAGTTTTATTCATAAAAAATTTCATCTATCCGTTCTTATTTAAAATCATCATCATTTTTGAACTGACATATTTTAAAAAATAACTTACCATCTTGTAAAAGTGCATTAATATCTTGATCTTTATCAATGATAATATCTGAAATGATTAAGAACAAAAAAACAAATTTTTTTTTTAACTAAGAAAATCTAAATAAAATGAAATTTACATTGATCTTGTCCTTGATCATCTGTAATTATCAGAATTTGTTGATTTTCATTAATATGATTTTGTAATTGATTTATTAATTCAGCTTGATTTGTTGTATCTTGTATAATAACTACATCATTATTTCCAACTGTAGTTGTTGGTAAAATATTTCCAGTTTGTAGAACAGTACCAGGTAATACTTGTGCAGCATTGACTGTTGTCAATGGAACAACATTTCCAAACATCATAGAAATAATTTTCTTAAACACTAATCTGATTGTTTGCTTTTCTTTTCCTTTCGTTTGACACACAAAGAATAGATCAACCTTGTGATTCGAGAAATTATTCCACCAATTACGTTGCACAACGATATGCTAAATGAGGGCGCACTTTACACAACAGTTGTTATTTGTATATAATCTTAGCGATTAATATCATGTCTGAAACAATGTCGAATAATCAACGATGTATGTGGAATTGGTTTTGTTTTTTGTTAAATAAAAAAGAAATTTTCTCTGTTTTTCTTTTGTCTTGTAGCTCCATTTTCTTTTTGGCGTTTTATTCAAGCAGAATTTACACGTGATTATATGCTTGAATGTGAAGAACAAAAATATTTAGAAAAACGAGAAAGAATCTATAATTTTCTTTTAATGTCATCAAGTCTTGAAAAGGTAAATTAAAATATTGAATTTCAAGCGAAAAATAAATTTATTTAACTTAATTTTTTTTCAATATTGAAAAATTAAGTTTACATATTTTTCGCAAAAATATATTTCAATCCTCGAGGAACAACTGAAATAGATGAAGTGAACAACTATTTACAGCTACACTCGAATAAGGATACAAAATTTCGATGAGAATATAATTTTTCATTTTTGTTTTTTTTTTATATTATACTTTTCTTTTAGAAATAATCAATAGTATTATTTTTTTTTGTTATTATACAGGTGGGTAATTTATATCTGTAGAACACTGACGAATCATTTACTATCTTTTTTTGTCGTATGAAAAAAAAGAAATTACATTGTAGTTATTTTTTATTGATTTCAGTTTATGCTATATGGATTTTGTCAATGTTTGGATACATTTTTATATGTATGGACTTTTTTACCAATACGTATTACACTTGCTCTTATACAAGCAATTGGTACATTATGTCGATTACGAACTTCAAAACCGTAAATAGAAAAGACGTGATTATTTATTTGATTTTTTTTATTTTAATTGTTTTATTTATTTAGTAATCGTTTATTTGAACCAGCACAAATTATCGATATTGTTAAAGGACTTGTTCTTTTTGGTTGTGCTGTACCTATGTGTTTTATGGATATATCAGTTGTATATCATGTAGTTCGTGCTCAAGCAGCTATTAAACTTTATATGTTTTTCAATATGCTCGAAGTATGTACTAAAATTTAACTTAAAAAAAATAAATAATCTTAATTGAATTATGAAATATCAAGGTATGTGATCGTTTATTATCTTCATTCGGTCAAGATACACTCGATGCTGTTTATTGGACAGCAACTGAACCACGTCGTAAACATAGTGCCAAAAAATTATTTCTATGGCTTATTGTAGCTATTGTTTATTGTAGTAAGTAATATATTAATAAATGTAGCGTAGAACATTGACACTAGTAGGAGATACTTGATGAATGATAAATAAGGTCATTTGATATAAAATAGTTTTAATATAAAATTTGAAATTAAATTTTCAACATTTATATTTTTCTTTGATTTATTATAAAAAAAGTAATATAAGACTATAGAACATATCTGTTTATGATTTATTTCTAGTAATTCATGCAATACTTGTTCTTCTTCAAGCTATTACATTGAATGTTGCATTTAATTCACAAAATAGAATGTTGTTAATTATAATGTTAACAAATAATGTAAGTTACAATTTTAAATATTGATCAATACAAATAATATTTGTTTTTTTTTTTTACTTAATATTTAATAGTTTATTGAATTAAAACATAGTGTATTTAAAAAATTTGATCGAAATAATTTATTTCAATTATCATGTAGTGATTGTCGTGAACGTTTTCATTATGTTATTTTATTATTTGTTGTTTGTGTACGTAATCTTGATCAATTTAATTGGGATATGAGTCAATTTTTGCCATTAATTGATTTTATTGTTGTTGTTTTTGTTGTTGAATTTTTTGTTGATTGGGTTAAACATGGATTTATTTTAAAATTTAATGAACTTTCATCAGAAGTTTATCGAGAATATATATTAAGTTTAGCTCATGATATGGTTAAAACAAAACAAGATATTGTATGTTTAGTTCTTTTATTAATTTTATTTGATAATAATTTTGAAATGTCATCTTTTGTTTTTTTTTCATTCTTCAAGGCTCTATCGGATTATACAGATTTACTTAGTCGTCGATTAGGATTTATTCCATTACCATTTGCTTGTCTAGTTTTTGGTGTACTCTTTCAAACAATTAATGTTAAAACAACTCTAGCAATAATTAATGTTCTATTAACATTTTTATGGTAAAATATATATTATTATTATTATTATTTATTTTTAAATAATATTTTCTTTTTAAAAAGTCTATTAGCATCAAAAATTGCTGTTGGAACAATTTTATTGGGTATTTCCAGTGAATATGTAATGAATAATCGAAAAGATAGTTCAAATACTATAATTCCAATTAAAGAACAAATGACAAATACTACAAATGATCTACCAACAGTTGAAATGATGACAACAACAACAATAACACAGCCAATAGAAAAAACACATACACGTAGTATGAGTCTCGTACATTTAGATCAATTATATAATAAACAAGTATTATCTGAATCAACAACGTTATCATCAGTTGATGGTGGAGATGAATTAAATGAAACATCATTTCGTGATGCTGATGATAATTATCAATGTTTAATTAATGATCAAAATTGTCCACCAGTATCAAATTTTTCAAAAGCATCAATACCTACTATTCATATTAATGATAATGGGAATAATAATAATAATAATACTTCAACAATATTAACAGATAAAAATGATGGAAGTATTTTTACATCACAAACATCAACAACAAATAAAACAACAGAGTTAAACAATGTTGAAAGATATAAAATGTGTGGAAATTCAATTATTCATTGAAACTAATATACACGGAGGACTTCAAAAGTATTTTTGCTCGGGTCTTCTAAAAGCCATAAATTTTAGTCTTTCAAGCCTTATGAATGGTTATATTTTCTCATTTCTTTCCGAGTAGTCACATATCATTTTTCGATCTGAATTTAGACTCACGAGAACAATTTCGCACAATGATTTCACAAGAAAACATAAGTTTTTATAGCAATGAGAAAATCCAATATACAATAAAACTAGCCTGTTTCACGAGAGTTTCGATTGAACTGACGCTTTCTATTTGTCAGTCAAAAATGGAACACTTTGTGGAGTCTGATTCGTACTGAGAGAGTCCAAATTCAGATCAAAAAATGGTATGTGACTACTCTAAAAGAAATGAGAAAATATAACGATTCATAAGACCTGAAAGGCTGCAATTTTGTACACAACCCTGAAGCTGTTTATGTGTTATAATAGAATAATCAGATTGAAATTATGACTTTTATGAGATCCGAACGAAAAAACTTTTGGCGTGCTCTCTCTACATGTATATATATATTTATTTATTGTTTATTATTCTGTTATTCATTAAAGTTATTTCTTATTTCTTATTCTGTTATTCGTTAAACTAAAAAACAAAGAACTTTTTGTGAGCTTTCTTATAATAGTATTATGCACAGTGCGGTGTTGCTAATATTTGGTTCTGCATTAAAAGGTTAATAAATTCCGTATAAAAACAAATCATGGTTTCGATCTTTTTTTTCAAGACAATATCTCAAATAATTTATGAGTTTTTAGTACAACATATGACTATTTATATATTTCGAAGTAGAGGTCTCAATGGGTTGGGCTGGGCCGACAAAAGTTGGCCAATAGGTTATCAACCTTTGGGTATAGCCTGGCGAATTCGACTCTGAAGTTTTCCTGTGAACCTCTAATAAACCGGGTTCCGATCCGAAGGTTTTGAACTCGACAGACTCTGCCCATGGACCAATCATCTAATTGCATTGAATAAATTTTTAATATATGAATGAGCAAGCATATTTCGTGTACCAGTAGTTGATATATAAACAAACCTTTAATTCTTTTAAATTCACCATTGTTTTCTGCATTATCAATTGGAAAATCTAAAAAACTTTCTAACATAAAGATATTTTTTACATTTTTATTATTAATAACAGTACATGTCAATGGTCATTGTTTCAAAATAAATTTGATCCGTTCAGATGTATACTATTTTGTATGTAATGCTGAACTAGAACTGGTAGTTGAAGAAAAAGTATTATTAAAAATTGATGATCAAGAAAATTCGGTACGAATAGAATTAGAATTAGAAGAAGTAATTGATGAACGAGAAAAACTAGACAAAGACACGTTCTTCAATCTAAAGAAAGTCTTTTAAGACGATTACGATTTTACCTTTTCCTTAGTGTTGTTCTACGTATTTGCTGTTCATTGTCGGAATGTTTTAGCCAACAGAAGAATCACATAGGATTTTTGAAAAAACAAAGTTTAATAGAAATATGCAACATCTTTGGAAAATTTTATTATTCTATTCAAGATTCGATCCATCGCAATATTGAAACAGTCAAGTCCAGTCTATTGAGATATTTATCTCGAATTTCATAAGAAATTAATTTCATTCTAAAATTTGTACTAGCTTTTGTCGATTTTAATTTATTTTTCAAGGTTATTGGTTCTTTCTGTATCTGCAACTCTTTCTTTTGAGTTGGATTGTTCACAAATAAAGAAAAAAAAAAGGTTTTATAAGTTATAAAGTACTTTAATACATTATACAATGTGCGAGAATAAAATATTTAGCAAGAATAAAATTGATACTAATAAAAAAAACTACACAAAAAGAAAACGAATTCATATTTGATATCTACTTATCCTTCTTAGCACTTTTTGCAACATCTTCACCAAGTTTTTTTGCTTCTTCACCTTTCTTTTTTAATAAATCTTGTGCTTGTTGAACAGTTTCTTTTGATACACCTTTATCTTTAAAGATTTTAGTTAATTCTGATCCTGTATCTTTAAGAAGATTTTGTAGTTCAGGTTTTTTTTCTTTAGCTTTGCCAACCATGTCTTTTAATTTGTTATATGGATCCGAAATTTGATCTTTTAATTTTGGATTGTCAGAAATTAATTTATCGTATGCATCACCACCAACTTCACCAGCTAAATCTTGAAGTTCTTTAACACGTTTTTGAAGAATATCTACAGCTTTACTGGCTGTTTGTGCATCTAAACCACCGTCTTTAGCAAGCTTTTCGAAATCTTTATATGTTTCATCGAATATTTTTTTTGCTTCATCACCATGTTCTTTACTAATCTGTTCAATTTGATCAAATACTTTTCCAAGAAATGGTGCCGAACCAGGAATTAAAGTAGCACTAGCTGAACGTAAATACTTAACAGTACTGGCTGCAGTTTCAGCTGAATCACCGGCTGTTTCTTTCACTTTTTCTTTGAGTTCCTGAGCTTTGTTAAGAGCATCACGTGCCGTATTAACAACTTGACGTGTACCACTAAAGTGATACCATGCAAAACCTATTAAATAAAAAAAAGAAAATATGTTCAAATTATTTATAATTGAAATTAGATTCTGTAGATGAAAATAAGAAAATTCATAAAAGTCTACTGAAGGTATTCATTTTCATAAGTGTTGACAGTATGAACTGAACAACTTTGATCACATGTATTGCCACGTGACTGAAAAAAAACTTACCTCCAAGAAGTGCAACAAGACCACCAGTAGCACCGGCTGCAAATGCAGATCCTTGTGATTGTTGACCACCAGTTGCACTGCTTGACTGCTGAAAAAAACATTGAGAAAAAGTTTCATGTTATTGTTAAAGAAAATTGAACCTAACCCAACGATATGGAGCAGCCGTTCGAATAGCAGGATTAACACGAACTACTCGGACAATACTATTGAAGGCAATACGATTCATCGTTGTCTTTTTTAAAAACTAATTGTAATAATTGTGTATATATCGACTCGTTTTTGTAGAAAAAAAGGTCACTTCGTATAAAGTTGTTTTTTTCTCCCTCTTAATAGAAAAATCACTGATTGGTGAACTAATAAACCAATTCTCAATATACGATAAGTGTATCTACAATCTATGGCAATGTCATACTAGTGATTAGAAAATATAAACCATTCGAAATTTGCATAAATTTATTAGCATATCTGAGTATTTTCAATGAATATTTGAATCAAGAATTGTGCCAGTGAAATGAAGAAGTATCTTGAGTGTAGGATCAAATTACGAATTAAATGGAGGTCTCTAATTCTGGCGAAAAGTATTATAAAGGACGACAAAAACAAACATAAAAAGCTACTTTTCTCTATGCGAAATTATGGGTAAAAATGCGTATTTGGGTGTAATATTCAAAATAGAATCTGTACTATTTCAATTAACTACTGTCGTTCATAATATTTCGCAAGATCTATCCAAGAATATCTTTTGTTTCTGGAAGAAAAATCATTCAGATTAACATAAAAATCGAATACTGCTATATGAAAGATCTGTAGAGATCATCTATTAAAATATTCGCAAAAAAAGATGTCCTAATCAAAAATAAACAATTTCCTCCTGATAGAGAATATAGTTCAATATTACTTGGTAGCTTTTCTTTATTTAAAGAAATATTATTGATCAGGAAAAAATCAAATACTATGTATTTTACCAATAACTAGTGAAAATTATATATCAAAATACTAACAGAGAAAGATCTCTTTGTGGATACAACAACTGTTCCGAATAATTTTTCACGTAAAGAGACCAGAACAAAGTTTGTATTTAACAATCACGACTAATAATCATACGAATTCTATGGGTATTTTATTATTTCGCATAACATTCTAGATTAATGATTTGCAGTCGGTTCCGACCGGAAGATTTCGGAAAAAGATAGGAAGGTAATAGGAGAAATACGATGTCGGAACACAGAGCCGACCATCGAGCACGCTCATTATAATACTCCTTCCAAATTTCTACCATTTTTCGAAGTCATTTCATATATGTCAAACTTGAAAGTTGAATTGAATTACATTTTCAACTTTCAAACATACATACATGTTATCTCTCTCAAAGAATGCTGCGGAAAGTCTTTCAGGGATTTCCAGTTGAGATTTAGATCGAAGAAAAGATAGTCAAGTTTGAGTGAGAGTAGGGCATGATTTAAATTTCTGTAATGCTTTTATAATTTTCAAGGATATTAGAATGGCATTGAGATATAACATGTAGACAATTGAAACTTAAAGAGTAGTTGTTCAATTCAATTTAACTTTCAAGTTTGACACAACTGATTTAATCTAGAAGTGTGATCATTTTGAAAAATAAACAATATATATATATTGGTAATGGATGTTATTCTACAAACCTATTAACAAATACATGAAAAACAAGATTCGTTACTAAGAAACCAGATGATTCGATTAACGTTCTTTTTTTTTTACAACGTTTCGTATTTCTTCTAAAGACAAACTAGTTTAAATATTATCTAGGACACCACACATTTAAAAATTGAATCAATATATACAATAAGCTAGTCGTTCCTCTGATAAATAAATGGGTGCATCACCTAGTAAGAGAACTCTCAAGATTTTCTTATTAAGTTATTATTAAAAAATGCAGAATTTTCCATAATAAAGGCAATGACTCAGTGTCGAATACGAAAAAAAAGAATCCTTCTAATTTACTGTAATAATGAGTGGACTGAAAGTTTTTAGACAAAATGTTCCTTGCTTTTCTGACCGATGAAGAAAGTCAACGGAAGGTATTAAACACTTGATTAGAATCTATGAGAGATACAATGACGTGCTTGCAATTCCTTGATTTCCCGACTTACAGAGCAAACTCGGTCGTTTCAAGCTGAAAGCTACAAGATTCTCAGCTGTTAATTGATTTTGTAGAGGACAGTTTCGATGTTTTGCTGTGCAAAAACTATCGCTAATAGTACGTACGCAGTACAAGACATCGTTGCTGAGAACGAAGTTTATTATTGGGATGCTTATCCATAAAAATTCAAAACGTGATGCATTCAAAAGTGGAATTAAACAAAAATGAGCTTTTTTACGAAAGTAACAAGAAAAATCACTGAACAACAGTATGAAATCAATTGCCAACAGAATATAATAGCATACTCCGCCTAAACTTTATTTTCGTGTCTTTCAAAGATTTGTTCATAACTCGTGATCTATGAGTCTCATAAAAATTTTGAATATAGATTTGAAAAAAGCACAAAATTGTGATTCTAACAAAGTGTTTAAGAGACAATTTGTGACAGGACCAAGGATCCGAGGCACTGATCAATATTTAAATTTTTTATTTTTTATATGCATTCAAAAGATCATTGTCTAAAACCACCAAATCTAAATTTTTAGCACCACGTACCTACTATCGAAAGTATAGTGATAATTTGTTCCATAAATATCTACTAGAATTCTACTTCAATAAGTTAGAATTTTTCCATGCAATAAATTAAAATATAGAGCATGAAGAGCTGAACAAAATGAGCTATTTCATATATTGTATATCATCTATTTACTGGAATTATCTAATCCAACATGAATAGAGTAGATTGTAATTTATGAGTTGAAAACAACAGATTTTTGACAGTATATCTGTTGCCACTTTTTTAAATGAAAAGTGCCATGTTGAATCTTTATGTATGTTATGTAACTTTTTACTCTCTAAAAAACTGTGAAAAATATTGGAGAAAAAATATTCGCCCTCCAGATGAAATAGAGCTTACATTTCTCTCCTACATAGTGATTTTTCAGTTTTTTTTCAGCTGAAAAAAAACTTTTTTGCGATTTTTATTGCTATGACATGGTCGCGAAGCAAAATAACTGTGATATTCGGAATCAGCATCAAAAACTATATTGAGTGAAATATATTTCGAGAAATTCTTTTTCTACGAAAAACTGACCCCTGAGGGACCACAGGTGATTTTTTCATAGAAAAAGAACTTTTCTGAAATGTATTTCACCCAATGTAGTTTTTGATACTCATTCCGAATATCATACTTATTTTGATTCATGACCGTGTCATAGCAATAAAAATCGCAAAAAATGATTTTTTTTTTTCTTAAAGAATCATGAAAAAACACTATGTAAGAGAGAGATGTAAACCCTATTCCATCTCGAGAACGAACTCTCTTCTCCAACATTTTTTTACCATTTTGTAGAGAATAAAAAGTTACATAACATAAATAAAGATTTAGCATGATACTTTTCGATTTGAGAAAATGACAATAGATATACTGTCAAAAATCTGCTTTTTTTAACTCATAAATTACGACCTACTTCACTCATGTTGAATTAGATAATTCCAGTAAATAGATAATATACAGTATTTGAAATAGCTCATTTTGTTCAGCTTTTCATGTTCTATCTTTTAGTTTATTGTATGAAAAAATTTTCTAATTTATTGAAGTATAATCTTAGTAGACATTTATAGGACAAATTATCACTGGTTTTTTCATAGTACGTAAGTGGTACTAAAAAGTTCATCTGAACTAACTTTACTATTAAGTATTCAAATATGCTAAAAATATAGGTTTGGTGGCTTTACCCAATGGTCTTTCGAATGCATATAAAAAATCGAAAATCTAAATTTTGATCGGCGCTTCATATACTGATGCGATCCTCGGCCCTCTCGTGAACTCTCTCTTAATACTGTCTACTGCCTTTCTTCATCAATCAAAAAATCAAGAAATATTTTGTTTAAAAACTTTCGACGCATCTGTCATAGTGCCTAATTTCAATATCAACACTCAAACTGCATTGTTATATAACCATAAATTCAATTGTTTCGAAAAGAAAACAGAAATTTCATATCTTAAATTGTTATTGAACTGACTAAATGATAATATGATTTTTTTTTAGTCGGTTCTATTGTTCTTTTCTTTTCCTTTGTATTTTATTTTAATAATAACATACAACAAAACAAAACGTTAATACATTTAGTTTGATGTTGTTGTTGTTGTTGTAGTCGATCGATATTTTATGATCGTGGTCGTTCTTTCTTTTCACGGTATAATGCCCACAAAGAGACATTAGCAACTTTAACGACTTTGAAACGAACACCCGGAATATCACCGACGGCATGACCTTTACGACCGAAACCGGCAATTAAAACTTCATCGTTTTCCTATTACAAGAAAAAAAAGTTTTTGTGAAAACAAAAATAAAAAAAACAAAATTTACTTCTATGTAGTTAAGACAACCATCACGTGGTACGAAAGCAGTGATTCTTTTACCATTTTTAATCAGCTGAACTCGAACACATTTACGAATAGCTGAATTTGGTTGTTTAGCTTCGACACCACTAAGAAATAAATTTAAAAACAAAATTTTTTTTTTCTAACAAAATAGAATACAAAAATAAACATACACTTTTTCAAGTACAATGCCTTTAGCATGAGAAGCACCTGCAAATGGATTACTTTTCCAGCGTGTACCTAAGTGAGACTTTTTATAATCTTTATCATGCCATCGTTGTTCACGTCGATGATCTTTAAGTTTACGAGCTGTACGAAGACCACGAGGTTTACCTATTTTATTCAAAAACGAAAAAAAAAATAAATACAATTATACTCTTTGACATAGAGATCATAATAACTTACCCATTCTATTGATATAAAGGTAAAAAGAAAACGGGTGGTTATCTAAAGTAAAAACAATCAATAGCATATTATTGAAAAGAAAAAAGAAAATTGACTAAAATAAAAGCTACTCTTCGATAAGCAGAAAACAAAATATCCTCATTCAATTAAGATGAAAACAGTAAAAACCAGTTATTAGATGAAATGAATTGAGAGAAAATATCGAAATTAATCAATATTTCTTCATTATATTTATTTATCTATCTATAATATATCCCGTTCTGAAGTAAAATAAAAAAAGAAACGAGCAAATCAGACAAGCATGATAATAAAATTG